GACCATGGTCTTATCTTACCATGGTAAACTGTGGTGCCATTTACATGCGACGTGGTTAAACCATGATAGACCATGGTCTTTTTTACCATGGTAGACCATGGTATACCATGGTCTCTTTGACCATGGTACACCATGGTCTTTTTCACCATGGTAGACCATGGTCTCTTTTGACCATGGTAAACTGTGGTGCCATTTACCGGATGTGGTAGGCCATGATACACCATGGTCAACCATGGTCTGTGAACCATGGTCTACCATGGTATACCATGGTATACCATGGTCTTTTCCTGCTCATTTCAGCTGGGTTTGATTTTCAAGTGTATAAGACGTCCTTTGTTCCTTATTTGTTTGTGTGTTTCTGTAGCAACAATGAGAAAATTAAATTACGTGAACTGTTCCCGTTGATAATTGTTTTTTATGACATTGTGTTCGTGTATTTTTCATTAAAACACACTTCATTTTAACTTGTCTCTCACCGAGTGAAGTGTTCAATTTTAGTTGTTTAATGCACACAGACGTAAAAACAAGGATCTGTAAGGTATCTGTCATGAATATTCATTAAAGGCAAACTAACTCAGGAAAATCATTTTTCATCTGGGATGTTTTACACACGTCCTTTGTAATGCTATTAGTATAAGTGTAACACTTCATTGAATGCTCCCGCTATTTTGTTATTCATAAATGAAACACAATGTCATGAAACAGTCAGGATTTCAATTTTAATTTTTTTATTTATCACAGTTTGAAATGTAAAATTGGTCTGTCATGACCATGGTCTACCATAGATTTGTCTGTGATGACCATGGTCAACCATTACTTTGTATGAGAACAACACCATGGTCTACCATAGTTTGGTTTAAGATGACCATGGTCTACCCTGGTTTCTGGTGACCATTGTCTAGAATGACCATGGTCTGCTGTGGTATACCATGGTCACCATGGTCTACCATGGTATACCATGGGGAGAAATGTTGGTGACCATGGTCTACCATGGTTTCTGGTGACCATGGTCTATAATGACCATGGTCTGCTGTGGTATACCATGGTGACCATGGTCTACCATGGTGAGAAATGTTAGTGACCACGGTTTAGCATGGTAAACCATGGTAATACCATGGTTTTCCGTGGTAAGCCATGGTTGACCATGGTCAACCATGGTGCCTTTTCAGCTGGGTATAATGGTTGGTTAATTACCTTACACATTGCACAGTTTTTCTTTTCTTTGAATGATGCTGAGAGGAAGGTTGTCAGAAAGAGGAGCTCGGAGAGACAGGAAGAGTGTTGGGATTCTTGACGGGGCATCTGACTTTTATCTGATGGCTTGGGGTGGTTGGTCGGTCTGTGCGGTTTTTTAGGTGCAAAGGTGTTGTGGAATTGGGAAGGGACAAAGTTCTCTCAGATGAGAGTATGTTGTGTCAGGGATGAACAAGTTTGTGTCAGAATGAGAGTTGGTTGTACGTCAGGGATGTACAAGTTTGTGTCAGAATAAGAGCTGGTTGTGTCAGGGATGAACAAGTTTGTGTCAGGATGGGAGTTGGTTGTGTCAGGGATGAAGAAGTTTGTGTCAGGATGGGAGTTGGTTGTGTCAGGGATGAACAAGTTTGTGTCAGGATGGGAGTTGGTTGTATGTCAGGGATGAACAAGTTTGTGTCAGGATGGGTGTTGGTTGTATGTCAGGGATGAACAAGTTTGTGTCAGGATGGGTGTTGGTTGTATGTCAGGGATGAACAAGTTTGTGTCAGGATGGGAGTTGGTTGTATGTCAGGGATGAACAAGTCAGGATGAATGAACAAGTTTGTGTCAGGATGGGAGTTGGTTGTATGTCAGGGATGAACAAGTTTGTGTCAGGATGGGACGTTGGTTGTATGTCAGGGATGAACAAGTTTGTGTCAGGATGGGAGTTGGTTGTATGTCAGGGATGAACAAGTTTGTGTCAGGATGAGAGTTGGTTGTATGTCAGGGATGAACAAGTTTGTGTCAGGATGGGAGTTGGTTGTATGTCAGGGATGAACAAGTTTGTGTCAGGATGAGAGTTGGTTGTATGTCAGGGATGAACAAGTTTGTGTCAGGATGGGAGTTGGTTGTATGTCAGGGATGAACAAGTTTGTGTCAGGATGGAGTTGGTTGTATGTCAGGGATGAACAAGTTTGTGTCAGGATGGGAGTTGGTTGTATGTCAGGGATGAACAAGTTTGTGTCAGGATGGGAGTTGTGTATGTCAGGATGGGGTGTGGTTGTATGTCAGGATTGGTTGTATGTCAGGGATGAACAAGTTTTGACATGATGAGAATTGGTTTTGTGTCAGGGATGGACAAGTTTGTGTCAGGATGGGAGTTGGTTGTGAGGGAGAGATAGGAGTTAAATTTTACGAAAACAATCCTTCCATTGCCATTGTCCTCCGCCCCCTCTCTCTCTTCTCTCCCCTTCCCCCCATGACATGAGACCAATGCTATGACATAAGACAACCAGGCCACTGCGATGGCCTGGCAGAATGTCAGGGCACTACCTACAATCAGAATAAATTCACTTCTTGTTTGATTTTACTCGCTTCAGATTCCCCACAGAATTACTTCCTATCATGCCAGATTGGCTTTGAATATGTCATTACGACACTTCTGTACATGGCACAGGGCGCACACAAAACCAGCAAACAGGTTTAAAGAGACACTACCTGTGTTACACAAGGTTGTTCTAACAGTGAATCCAGGCTGAGAGAGTGAGTGAGTGAGTGAGTGAATGAATGAGTGAGTTGTGTTTTACTGACACTTTCAACAGTATTCCAGTTATTATATCATGCCATGTCGGTTTGTGGCAAGAAAGCTGGATGTGGTGCAGGTCAGAGATGGTTTCAGTTTTAGTGAAATCCATGGTGGCAAAACTGGAAATGTGATTTGGACGAATCAGGATTTGAACCCACACTTGCAGTGACAAGGCAAGTTTATTCCAGTAAGATCAGCTGATTCTAGTCCTCATACTCATTAAAAATGAGAATGTTGCTGTGCATGTTTGGGCCTGTGGACCTAAAGGCTTCTGTAGTAGTAGTGGTAGTAGTAGTAGTGGTAGTAGTGGTAATGGTAGTAGTAGTGGTGGTAGGTAGTGGTAGTAGTAGTGGTGGTGGTAGTAGTAGTAGTAGTAGTAGTAGTGGGTAATGGTAGTAGTAGTGGTGGTGGTAGTGGTAGTAGTAGTAGTGGTAATGGTAGTAGTAGTGGTGGCAGTAGTAGTAGTAGTAGTAGTAGTAGTGGTGGTGGTGGTAGTAGTAGTGGTAGTAGTAGTAGTAGTGGTAGTAGTAGGAGTAGAAAAGCATGTAAGGAGCTGCATGATCTGTGAGATTGGCATTTTAGAAGTTGATGAATAATAAGAAAAGGTATGATTCTTTATGCATAACTTCTTATACCGTTGCCAACAAGAGTGACAATGGTATAAGAATCTATACCGAAACGTCACATCACAATACAATACAACAAAGCAAGTTGTTATCCATAAAGTATTGCACCTTTTCTTAAGGAGCTACATGTGCAAATGTTCGGGTACCAAAGGATATGAATTTGTGTTTAAGTACTTCGTTCTTGCATCCATACGAAAATATTTCAGTAAACAAACTAGTGTAATGAGGAATCATATGGTCAAACTAATGATACTTATGAATTGTACTTGACACGTATTTCAAATTCATAACATTCTGTCAATTTACTACACAAATGTTTTACATTGTTGTCAAGAACCAATGATGTGCGGACATAAGAAATAAATTCATCAAAACAAGCACATGATAATTCTTTTTAAAAAAAGGTTTCAACACATTGATTGATCTAACCGCCAATTTCTTGTGGTAACAAATTTCCACCAGGTCACTTCACATGTGTCCTCATGTACAGTCCAAGGTCAACTTCAGGTAATGACCCAAATTACAAAACACTGTATAAATGTCTTGACCCTACCAGTATCTTGGCACCAAGCTTAACTTTAGCATACAGATGGATTGGCTTTAATTCAATTCCCATGCCTACATCCTAATTGAACTGGACAATTTGGCGCCATATCTACATCATCGGAACTTGATAGTAGCATTACCTGAAGACTTACTTCGATTAGGCTTTTGTTAACACAGATTAATAGTACACTGACCCTACATTTGAAGCTTAACAAAGAATAAAAGCCTTGGCATTCGGATTTTTTCCAAAACATGTCATCTGATTAATTATGGCTGTTCTGTTTGTTGTCTGAGAGGTGACTTATTAATCCAATCAAGACAAATATAAAACTTAAACTATTTTGTTGTATTCAGCTACCAATGTACTTTGCAATATCGGTTAAAAAATGTTAGAAGTAACGTGAGCAGGACTGACTTCTGTATCCCCTTGTGAGTCGTGTGAACTTTACTGAAGCAGTTGGTAATCCGACTGATGAAAAAATGTGGTCTGATACTTCGAGTAATTTTCAGGTATAAAATTAACCTTGCCCCAAAGCATTTTTTGGGGTGATTGCTGTTCGATCGTCGTTGATTAGACTATCGTCCTGAAAAAGAAGTTCACTTGTCACAGGGTTCTTACTGGTCTCAGACAAGTACATTTGTCTCAATTTCAAATCCTGCTGTACCTGAAGGCCACTGAACTGGGCTGCAATAGTACATTGCTTGTCTTTTTAACCTGCTTTGATATTTTAAAGTACCTCTGGTAACTTTAAAATATCGTGATAAAATTACATGCAAAAGTTGTGTGATCATTTAGGTGAACCATTTTGGGAAATACAACTTTCTGCTATGTAAAGGCTTCTATGTAAAAACCCAAACATGATCAGTTGTTCAGGGAATGTCATCTTACTCATGATATCTGAAGAGAAAGGATCAAATAATGGTCAGGGGTCAGTGGAAACTACGATGGCAAATTTACCACAATCAGAATTATTGTTTCACATTTTGACCGGAATATGTAAGTTTGTCATTGAGCTATGGCATCCCAAAATACTATTTTCCCAACAACATATTACAGTGACATTATAACATGATATTATAGCAAACTTTTATTCATAATATGGTTTATAGGTATAGACACCTTGTAGTTGCTAATGAAATTTCTGTGGGTGATAGAAATGTCCGACAGTGAAAGACCATACGTATTCAGGCAGAGTTTTAGTGGCAGATTGAGTGGGAGAAGTTAGAAAGGCTTTCGTCTTGTACTGAGTCCTAGGAGTTTCTTGAATGCTCGTCGAAAGTCCTCGTTGAAGAGCGTGTATAGAATTGGATTTACTCCTGAGTTAGCATAACCAAGCCAGATGATAAAGGCCACGAAATGGTCATTCATGTAACATTCTTCACATAAGCTTCGCGTGATGTACATGAAGAGGAATGGTATCCAGCAGATGAAGAAACATGCCATTATCAAGAGCATGCGCTTGGTCGCCCGCGTTTCTCGCAGTTCAAATCGTCGCTTCATGCTTAATGTCATCCGTTGATTGCGTTCCAAGCTGGACAGGTTCCATGGAAGGGAGAACCGATGGTGTTTACGGGTCTTCTTACAGCGATTGTCCGAGTCGTCAGATGACAGATCAGACAGAACATTCACACTCTTGCTCCGTACGGCATTATCACAGGACTTGTCGCCTTTCTGGCGTTGAAGGTCAATGGCATCGGAACAGCTTTTCCGAAGACCGTTGTGGCTTCGTTTGTAATCACCGTTTGGGTTGTTAGTCACCAGGAGATGATGTCCATCCGAATCAGGGTTTGCAAAACTCACAGTATCTGTCACAGGTTTCACTGATTGTAAATCTCCGTTAGAAGGGTAATCCGAGGACTGGTCGTCATTGCCGATCTCAGTCGGAATCATTTCACTGGTTGGGGTAAACGTGTTTCCGTTTAAATACAATGTGCTGTTCATCAGTTCTGTTGTGACCGTGAAAGCTGTATTTTCACGTGTCAGATTCATTTCAATGCTGTTATCCTCTGGCGAATTTATTCGAGGACATCCATTTCCAATGGAAGGGCTTTGAGGAGGATAACAAGACATATTCCGTGGTTTCAGGTTGTTTGATCTCTCATGTAAAACACTGAAAATCCGAATGTACAGAAACACCATAAGGCAGGCAGGAAGGACGAATGATCCCATCGCAGAATATAATACATAACTCTTTGTTGAAAATAAGATACATTCGTGGCGATTCAGATTCGAATTGTAGTAATAGAAACTTGGTATCATATCCGGCCATCCAATAAACGGCGCAAATGATATGATTATTGAAAAGATCCACACAAACACAACATAGGCAACAACCTTGCGAATCGACTTCTGCTCGTGATACCACACCGGATACACTGTTGCAGTGTAGCGATCAAACGCGATGGTACACAGACCCCATATTGAAGCTGTGCAGTAGAGGACATCGATACACAGCCAGATCGTGCACATTGTTCTTCCGAACACCCAGTACCCGAGCAAGTCGTTACCCAGGGATATAGGCATAACGGTCATAGAAAGCAGTAAATCACTGATGGCCAGGTTGCCGATGAGACAGTTGGACATTGTCCGGAGTGAGCGGTACTGATACAAGGCGAGGATGACCAGACTGTTCCCGATGATGGTCAACAGGGTAATTACTGTGAGCACAATCAGAACAATCATAAATGATGCAAAAGTCTGGAACCGTGTTGAACACACCGGGCTTGTAAGCTTCCACACCATTGAGAAGTTTGAATTGCAGACATTGCTGAATGACCCATTAACTCTCCAGTAATCGTCCTCCTTGATGGAGTTGTTGGCGGCAAGGTCCAGCGATGGAGCAATGGTCGTAAACTGGCCGTTAATAAACACTTCCGAGGTGCTGAAGCCAGAGTTTGTGTCCGGCGCCGTCGTGTACAAAAAGTTGTCATCCATGCTTTTATGAGATGAGAGCACTTTCTTTGGAGTTTCCCATTATAAGGAACAACTTGATGGTATTGGTTTTATACTACTTTCCTGAAGATAAACTGTTACTAGCTTGCAACACTTGTCACTTGTTCTGTTGTGGACAGGGGTTTGCAGAAGCGATGTCAATGCTTGTGTAATTTACGATCATCTTGTCAATCCGGCTGGGCTGTCAGTGTCGCAATTGTCTGGGAAAAAAAGAGAAAGATTTGTTAAACGGGCAAAACACGTCAAGACTATTTGGTTTGTTCAGGTTACAGGCTTACTCTGAACCCTTTTATACATGACAAAGAAAATATGGCTTTATTGCATGGGTAGGAACTATTTTCCTTGCATGATTTATGCTGTCTGCATTTGTGGGGAACAGACAAAATACGACAATGGTCAATTTACATTTCCAATGACTTGTTTTGATATCGTTATTTCTACAGCGATAAATTGGCATTTTAGATCGCATACATCATATATTTGACCATTGAAGGACGTGTGGGTTGAACAAATGTGACTTTGTAATTCTTTCCCATCAAAGTAGACAGATATTTGCTATTCCAGGCACTGCTGTTGGAGAAGGTCAAATGAAAATGCATTTTCAAATTATTCACATTTGAGGTCTGCCATCTTTATCTATATCTGTCCCAGAGTATTTGTTCCGCATAAAGGATTGTGGAGTAGGCTAGTTGTTGAAGTGTTCACTCATGCTGAACACATGGGCATGGGTTTCAATCCCCAAAAGGTTACAATCTGTGAATCAGATAAATGGTGTCTATTTTCATGACAACAAGATGGACTGACTGACTGACTGAGTTTGGTTTTACGCCGCTTTTAGCAATATTCCAGCAATATCATGGCGGGGGAAACCAATAATGGGCTTCACTAATTGTACCCATGTGAGGATTCGAACCCGGGTCTTCGCAAGCCAACGCAATAAGCACTAGACTACCCCACCGCCCCGACAACAAGATGGAAATATTGCTTAAAGTGACGTAAAACAATGCATGCTTATCGGAGGTATATATTGTGCTCAAATTCAGTTAATTATTTCAGAAATGCACTGTGATATTTCCACTAGATTACCTGGTTGCCTTGGTAACCTTTTTCACCTTATGCTAAATTCCTGGCTACCCTTTCAACCCGGACTAACATCATTGGCCCAATTTGGTGTTTGTCCTCACAAGTATAACTTAGTGTCAGATATATGGACTTTTTAAAACCATACTTGCTTTCTGACAGTGGATACACTACTTTCTTTACAACTGGTCTAAGCCTATATGGTATATATTGACTGTTTTCACTACACCTGCTTTCTAACAATACTAAATACCTCATAACTAGTTTTAAAGTCAATACTATTGACAGTGGTGAGTTGACCACTTCTGACACGGTCAGCTTCTGCCAACACTAGTCATAGACCGCTCAATGACCCTGGTCAAACATTGCAATTTCTTGCCAATTATGTTGTCACACATTATCAGGAAATATATCCCCAGACCTTTGATAAAGACTGATTTGCATTAGTTGTGATGAAAACGTTATATCTTGTCCTGGCATAGGTTAGTCCCAAGACAATCACTGATTGGTTTATCACTGGGGTTCAGCTGGGGTCTGTGTATTGATATTTATCGTGAATTGAGGATAAATTCTATCCAATAAATCCAGAAATTACATTATCACTTGAACATGCATATATAAGACGGAAATTGGAAAATGGATAGATGTGGGCTGGGGAATACCATTTCTAGATAGCACAAAATGTTGGATTTTAATGACAACTTATTTTAGAGTAAACTTTTAGTTGATGATGGTTTAATAAGTATATTTCTTCTGCCGTAACTGATTTAATTTTATTGTAAAAGATTAGTTTCATGGAAAATTTAGTGTTGTTTCATTCACATAAAAATAACACTCTTTCTAGATAGTTGCTATAGATTTCTGAGAATAATAAGTTAAATTGTTATGGATGGAATTAAAGTTGCCAAGTAGATCAGTAACAGGTGATCCTTAAAGAGATCCTTAAATGACTTTGGTTTCAGATGCATTGGGACCCTTTACAAGATAAGAATAGGTTTAGCATACATACGTGCCAACAGTTTTTTAAAGACTAAAAAGTAGATTAAAAACTAAATTACCAATGCTATTTTTGTTTGGCAACAATCGGAAACATATTTACCCTTTGCTCACACATACGTAATAAATAAGCTTGAGATACCCAGCTGATCAGTGAGGGTGTTAGGTAACTGAGTGTTATCTGGCCCAAACTGTCAGCAATAAAATCAACAAAACCATTACCATACTCATGAGAAAGTCCATTATATTGTTCATAATATATCCTAAACAAAATACCTGTGAAGATCTGTGTTAGAATTGATCTTCAGTAACCCATGCTTGTCGTAAGAGGTGACTAACGGGCTCGCTTGCTTGGTTGACACATACCAGATTATTTACAAACCGCCGCCATATACCCGGAATATTGCTGAGTTCGACGTAAAACTGAAACTAACTCGCACGCTCACTCACTCACTCACTCACTCACTCACTCACTCACTCACTCACTCACTCACTCACTCACTCACTCACTCACTCCTGAACAAAATGTGAGCATATCCTGCATCACCAGTGGTGTACATCACAAACACATCCAAAAGCAGGTGAACTGTTCACCTTAAAAGCCCAGGAACAGATGGCACATGTCAAAGTATGGAATTGAACTGGATGTCACTCATGACCAGTCAGTTGATATGCTTATTACATGCATGAATATGTATAAGGATTAAATATACAATTATTTCTGAAAATGTTTCAAATCCAGTTTAATAATTATTCAGATATCATCTCTTTCATATCATTAAATAAATGTCCATATTAAATGTTCTGCTTTGTTAGATTTAAGCACTAATGTTCTAATTAATATTCACATGCTCATTATAATTTCTTTGATCTTTGTTAGGAACAGCGACACAGTAATGTGATCAATTTTGTGGAAATGTATGTGAAAAAAGCACATGTTTTTCTTCAATCTGTGAATCGAGAGAGGTGTTTATTCAGTTCACATATGTCACACGAGGGATATTAATTCAGCAAAGGTTCCTATTCCAAGGTCAAATCGGATGTTTGGTCATACATGAGTTTATAGACCATACAGAAAACGACCCCTTCGTGCTCGATACTTTGATTTGGAAATTATTTGGATTTCATTAACTTGTAAAGGGAGATGGTATGGTTTATAAATTGATCAATATTAAAAACAGCTTGACCTTTACCATTTCAAACGTTATTAATTCACGACAAGTGATTATGAGACTTTCCGAATCCTTCATTATTGATTGGTGGAAAAAAGATGTTATTTTCGTCCATTGAGGCCCAGTCTCGATGGCCGAGTAGATTTTAGATCTGTTGTTAAGTAGGTTGTTATATGCAATTATGGCTTTTACGTATCCTGGGCAAGTTCAAGCTTTATTACGAGTCAGACATACTTTTTTGTGGGGGTGAAAAATATTCTGTATTTTCGAATGTCAAGCGTAGGTGGGATAGGCTAGTGGTTGAGGTGTTCATTCATCATGCTTAAGTCCTGGGACCCGATCCACAGAGTGATCTTAGTACTAAGATGATCATAGGTCTATGTTAAAGTATGGGAGTTACGATAACCTTAGAGCTTTTATCACTTTGTGGAATGGGGCACTGGCTACTATTTTGGCACTGTGTAACACCCTGATTTCATCCACCATATTGTTGCTTTAATATTGGTTAAAACAGTGATAACTTCGGTAAGACTACAGAATACCGGATACCTTCTGCCATTTTTGAAAGCATGCGAATATACTTAGGGTTAGGGTAAGGTTTAGGGTTAAGGTAAGCTTTAGGGTTAGGGTGACATGACACTAAACAATATGGCTGGTAGGTATCCAGTATTCTGTAGGTGTACCATAACTTCATATCAACCAACCAACTGACTGACCAAGTGACCAACTGAGCAGCTGATCAACTGACCAACCAACTAACCGACCAAACGACAACCAACTAACCGACCAATCGATGTGCAGTGTGTGAAAGAGATAGGAGAGATACAAACAATGAGTGAGTGAGTGAGTTGGGGTTAAGCTGCTTTCAGCAATATTCCAGTATTGTACCCATGTGAGGAATCGAACCCAGGTCTTCAACATGACAAGCGAATGCTTTAACCACAAGGCTACCCCATCGCCCCCGAGACAGAATGATAGATGGGGACTTCAGTGTAACAATTAAGCCTTAAGGCTATGCCATGATGTGACATCAGTGAATGTCATGCAAATCCGGTGAGGCATGTCATGTCATACACCTGGGACAGCCATGGTCATGACATAAACCCAAACAAATTGTACCTGAGAGTCCCTGTTGTACCAAAGCAGACCCAGGTTAATCATGTCTGATCCGGGAACACATGAAGATCCAGGTTAGAATTGATCTTCAGCAACCCATGCTTGTCATAAGAGGCGACTAACGGGATTGGGTGGTCAGGCTGTCTGACCGGGTTGACACATGTCATCGTATCCCAATTGCGAAGATCGATGCTCATGCTGTTGATCACTGGATTGTCTTGTCCAGACTCGATTATTTACGGACCGCCGCCATATAGATGGAATATTGCTGAGTGTGGCGTAAACTAAACTCACTCACTCACTCACTATACCTGAAGTAAAACAGACCCAGATAAATCCTGTCTGTTCCTGGAGCCTTCAAGGCAGACAGGTGTAATTAAGCTGTGTCATGATGATGTTGGAAACAATGCCTGCTGGAGACTACCTTCAGGGGAACACAATAACACTTAATGAGAAGCCATAGTTGCTGAAATGTCCATTGTCATACCAGCAGATTAATGGATTTACCTACAATAAATGTAGATGTTTTTAATTTGTAAATGGAAGTTGGCGCTATCTGGGTGATTGGATCTGAAAGATGTCATCAGAACCATTGTGCTAGTGTTGTATGACTGGGTTACGTATTGTCCTGTGCTACTGTCTGTACAACTGCTTCAAGGAAGTTTGCCCTTGGGAGATTTTAAGACAGAAAGTATCAAATGTTCCATTGCAGGTAGACGGCTACAACTACAACATGCATATTGTGATTACTGTAGAGCGACGAGATAATCCTGAGTTTTCAGATTTGTAGTGGATCTCAGGCTTTAAGTTTCACAAATGAGGTTTTCAATGTTAGT